TAATTCGACAAATTTGGGCTGCATTCGAAATTAAGTAGGCGGAACAGACCACAGATGCAAATACCTCTCCTCAGAGCAGATGGCATCGAGGGAATTCTCGTCAATACCACCACCTGGGCCACATATGTGAGATGTAATTCGGCCACAAGTTACGTTTAAGCTCCCTCACGTAGAGGTCATCAATGTTGAATTGAAGGGACTGCTACAGAGGAATATCCCACGTCAGAGTGTTGTGCTTTGATTAAAGCTTGAGGGTCGCATCTTATAAAATTACCCTAGTCTCCCTTTAGAATGAAATTCACTCTGCAATGCTTGCGTTTCAGTTAGTGTGCGCGTTTGGTAAGACATTCGCCCACTATTACTCGCTTGACTTGGAAGCAGCGTGTTTTGTTGGAAATAAATTAGTGGCGCATCTGCTGTGTCATTGATTTCGAGTGGAAAGAAATGATTGTGACTTCGTGAGAAAGAGTATAAGTAGGAGGCCGTATGGTGCCTGCGGATCACCAAACAAATATATGAATAAAGACAAATAAGGTGTGGATCGAGTTCACGGTCTGTACGGAGTTCAACAATTGGCTAATTAAGGTGGGTTTAATAAATACTATGTAGAAGCTTGCTAACTGCATCTTCCCACCCAAATGCACACCGAAGGATGGAGAGTGAATCCTCCTTGTCTACAAAGAGGAAGGAGAGAGTCATTGCGCCCTCGTTGCAAATACATGTGTAGCGTCCCGGGACTCCTCAAAGACGAAAGACGACAAAATACTCAGGCAGAATATATATTCAGCTCAGAGAAGGTGTCTGGGCTATTGGCATGGCCCAAAAGGCCAGTCCACCCAGCGAGGTACAAGAGGACCAATTCAAAGTAAAAAAGTGGCGCCTCACCAATGCCGAGGGATAAACCACTATCGTATTACACATGTACATGAATGTTAGATAGCTTTGGGTGAATGAATGCCGGTGTGGCGATATGTGCTTGACCTCATCTCTTTTGTAGTCAAATCGGTGTCTCAGATATAATTTCATTTTTGCTTGGGCACGCAGTGTTATTTGTAATGGTACCAATAAAGGCATTCATATAATTGACTACTTTAATGTGTCCAGTAAAACACAATAACTCCTCTTTCTATTAGGCAATAAAGGATTTGACTGGTGTATGTAGTCGGATGGAATTATAAAAATAAAGATGAGGGAGGAAATTTAGAAGTAAATGGTGTAAATTGCTAAGTGGCTAACTTCGTTGAGTTTGTTATACCTTAGTTTGATTAAGGAAAGATTTGTGTTCGGTAGTGCATAAGATTTAATTGTTCAAAAAGTTAGATTAGCCTTGTCCCTCATGGCCGCCTACAAAACGCGAGACTTCCTCCCAGTTTACCATATTCGCTCCTCTGCAACGTTTACGGTTAATTATTCTTCATTCCCTGACATTTTATTTTTGCATGCATTATAATGTAAACTGGGCCAAAATGGGGAATTATTACAGTGAGAAACCGGCAATTAAGTTTTCAAAACTACATTATATTGCGTCTTTTTGTCACAGAATACGCTCCCATTTCACTTTACTTTCTCTGTTTAATTTGTCAAGTAATCATTTGTCAAAGCAAAACATTACTCCATTAAAACGAGCCTAATTTGTTTGTAGATATTTTACGCGATTTACCATCTTCACCGACAGATTCTGGATGTTACATGAAACTTTGTCGTCATGAATGCCACAACTAGGAATAAACCTGGATTCGTTATACTAGTAGTGATGAAATACTTGTTACGAATACCCAGGTTAATACTTCTTGAATGAGGGTGCTAAGGCGTAAAGAGGTTGGTTAAGTTAAAGGAACCTATTCATCTCACCTAGTCACTGTTATGGAGAGTCCTGCTGCGGTAGTAGTGCGGAGGAGTCGTGGCACCACAGGCAAATTATTATCCATGCACTGAGATACGAACATTTCAGTGTGATGCTCGTAATCCATTTAGGCCGTGCAGCTGCCGTTTCGTGTTTTATACACACTGCTGTCACTCGACAGAAGTAAAGTCATTTGACTCCTCATCAGCCTCATGCCATCTTTCGATTCTTTACCCATGTAAAATGAATTGAAGCATATCTGCATGAAGTCCTCTTTACACCTTGTTAAATATCGCGTCGATGACTTCTTAGCAGTTATTAGAATCTTCTTCTCCCCATGTTACTATCTCATACTCTATTCTTTCCATCAGTTACAACGACCCATGAGTAAAACTGAAGTGTGCTAATGTTATTTTCAGGTCGAACCGCTGAGCCTTCTTTGCATGTTATAATGCTGATTACCACAAATTTGATCAACACTGCCGTTGGCTTCTTCAATTAATCGCAAGTGTGTCAAAATTAAACTAAATTCAAAAAAAATATCGTCGCAATTATTACTGGACAATAAAACTGGATGTCTGAATTTCCTGCATAAGTCGCCGCCACACTAAGTAGAAAAGTTGGGAAAAAATAAATTCTCTTATTTAGTGGCAAAGGTTAGATATAGCAAACAAGGGGGGCTTGTGAAGAGGAAGTCCGGGTCAGAAAAGGTAAAATATAGGAAATAAAGTAGAGGTACTGCTGAAGATAGACTAATTTCAAAGCAAACGCTGTCACGTTTTACAAAGACCACCAAAATGCCATAGACACTACCATTCGCTAAATTGAGAATCACGTTAATTTACGAGAGCTAGCATACCGAATGCCCTACAAAATAAAGCATCAGCCCGAGCAACTTCAAATATAAACACCGATTTAACAGGTCCTAATATTATTGGATGTATAACGAATAATATACAAGCACTTCATCAAAAAGGTGAAGAGAACAAATGTTTGTACCATTATCCATGTAAACCACGCCTTCCTTCCAACTCAGTCTGAAGTTTTCATAAAGCCGGTGGAGCCCACGGCTGCGTTGAACACCACCGCGGGCATATTGCCACCACCGTTGGTCGGGAGAGAGGACCCGCTTAGAAGGCACATTCAGAGTGGGCAAAGTAAAGGACACTCCACGTCTGCTAAGGAAGTTTACGAGCCTCCTAAAACGTAAAAATAGGACAGACAAATAAAATAAGGAATACTTGGAAGTAACTCCGCAAAAGTTATATTATGCATAAGCTGAAGGAGCACCGGCTTCTTCCATAACAAGCGAATTAAAATTTTAGTATACCAAAGTGTATGACACTTATGTGTTAATTCAGCAAAACGAGCCAAACGATAGCATGTTGCAGTAAGAACGTGGATGGTCGGCATAGGTATGTCACTAGAATCTTGCAAAGCAGCCATCTTGCAACTGAAAAATGATCCAATTTTCACAGAAGG